AGAGCTGCTGCTTGATGATGCAGCCGCACGCAGAAGTGGCAGCTGTGGTGTGACTGCTGCCTACCTGCATTCCATATTATGTGACAAACTGGTACCTTCTTCCCTCCAGTGGTTTAATTTGGAGGATGACTTCCTGCATTTGCCAAAGACTCTAGTTTTCAGTTTTGGTTGCATTAACAAGCAAGACTGCAAATTTCAGCCACTTGTGAAAGGGTCTCTAGCCCAAAGAACTGAGAGCTCTGGTTACGGACGTCTGTATGAATTCATATAGTACTACCACTATAGCTGTTGTAGACAAAATATAAAACTGAATTTGTAGTTTAAATTACATAGTACAGTGTTGTAGACAAAGTCTCCTCCCCTTCAAATTCTCACCTACAAAGTCCACCTTTCATTATTCCTAGTCTCTTATTTTGTCCATGAGTGTGAAAGCAATAGCAATCTATTTCAAAGAAAGAGCTGCGTATTTTTGAACTTCATGTCACAGAAGGAAAAGGCTGCTCTGCTGTTATACGGAAGTGTAAACAACTGCCAAACAGACTGCCCTCAGTGGTCATGTTTTTTAAATGACTGTGATTGTTACATTAAAAAAGCTGACAACTTTGAAATGTTGCAGCTTGATTTACTGGAGCTGGCACAGAAGATGCAGGCAAAGCACCAGGCAAGAGAAATGGAATAAAAACAACATCCCATCACTCCCAGTAACAGCACTGGAGGTGTCATTTAGTCTACTGAGGTAGGCAAAGAAAATAGAGGAAGGAAAATCCTCCATAGCACCACATTAGGAATAGAAAATAGCTGCAAGTATAAGCAATAATAATTTTGGGGAAAGTATTTTGGATCATTAATAAAAGTGTTTTTAAGATCCTGATTATCATGTCTCTCATGGGCTCATATATACGCTAGTTTTCAGAGATGCTAATTTAATTTAAACAATGGCTACAATAAAACTGAATGATACCACAACATATTTCGTACGAGCTGGAAGTGGAGTTGCTTCCAGTGATTTATGTCGCACCAAGGGAAGGTCAGATTAAATGCTGCAAATGGAGAACAGTGCTACTGAAGTCAAAGGCACAGAGATCTGAATCCTGCACTGAGATCATTACTAAACTGAAGGTCAGGCACACAGAGGCCACATCATACTCGAGCACAGTCAAAATATCTGGCCTCATGCTAAAATGATATAATAGGAAGACTCTACTGCCAATTTTGAGGGTCTCATGTACAGTCTCACATACAAGGGGTAAAGCAGAGCCTCTGGCACCTTTTGACTTTCTAGCATGACAAGGAGCAGAAATGACCTAAAAGCTCATGTTATTTATGTTTCAGTTCACTCTTTCTCATTAACTTACTTTTCTGGTTTTAGATCCCTGTAAATAATTCCAAGACCATGGAGGTGGTCTAATGCCAAGGCCAGCTCAGCTAAGTAGAACTTGACATCCTCTTCTGTAAACATCACCTAGAGAGAAGGAAGAGAAGAACACATCTATTTACCGGACAGCAGTGGGCTGGCTTGTGTTAAACAGACATGGGGAAGGAATTGCCTAACTCGGGAATGCTGGAAGGACCATCATATCAGGTTCAATTTTCCATAATTTGTCTGAGCTCACATTAACAATTCTTACCAGATTCTCCTCATAAAACAAAACCTGATCTGTTGAGCACTTCTGTTTCTTAAAACATGCTGCTTTCATTTATCTGTTTGTTCTGTTTAGATGACATCATGTCACAATAACATGAATAAGGTTCTAACTCCTTAACATTTGGAAATAAATGGCAAAAGTCAATATGTTCAGTGCAGCTCTTACCACTTTCATATACCTTAATTTTCTAAAATTCTTGGCATTTGGTTACCAAATTCGCACAAAATAACATGGGGTAACCTTTTTGGGGAATTGAAATGTTTCCAAACATGAGCAGAATACGCAGCATGAAGAGACTCAGAGGAGGATTTAAAGCCCCGTGCATCAAGGGTTCAGGGAATCTCAGTGCAGATGCCCTAAGCAGTGATGTGCTGTCTTACATCCAGGGTCTGATGAAGTCTAAACTGAGGGCAGTTGTTTCTTTTCTATAGCTGATACGGATACTGCTGACACTGAAACTGTTTTAGGTGGGAAGAAACTTCTAATAGAAAAAACACTAAGCTCAGAAAAACAGCTCAGATGGCAAGCAACTCCTTTGGTTCAACTTTCATTATATCCCAGATGTTATTATCTTTAATTAATTTTCAATATGTACGGCTATAATAATGCAGAAAGAGAAGCTGATACATTGGATACACAAGTGTGAATACTTTGAATGACAGATGTAAAATGAGTCAGCTAAATACAAATTTACATGTCATATGTAAATGTAAGTATCTACAGGAGAAGTTGCCAAGCTTATTTTTAAAATTAAGTCTTTGCTCTTGGAACGGGGCAGCCACAATACTGGAGTACTCTGAGAAGCCGCAGAAGGCTGACAGTAAAAATAGAGAATTCAGAGAACAGATGTCACATAATTTAATTAAAAATATCACTCCAAGGGCTAGAAAGAAAAAGGAAACACAAGTAAAAACTCTGACTAAAAATTTAATTAATCTGAACATTAAAATTGCATTAATTATAAAAATAAATCCAAATTATTTATAAGGTTTAAAATACATAATGTAGGCAAGAGAATAAATCAATAGAATCAGGGAAAATCTAATCTGTACAGATATACCTAGTTAAAGTCAGATGTTTCAGGCAGAAAGAGAGACAAGCTTTGCACACACACATGCTGTAGTATATGGGATCTGACTCAAAGTCCACTGAAATCAATACTATTAGACCAAGCCTGTAACTAACAAATTGCAAGTAGTACAAGTTTGCCCGTAACATCTTCCCTTGTGATACCTTGCCACGAAAGAGCTTCAAATGAAGGTAGACAAAGGTAGACAAAATGAGCTGCAAACACTGAAAAAAGTAGTACTTGAAAGGACTGTCAAGTTAAGAGGACTCATTCTTGATAGTATAAATCAGAGAAGTCAGCAGATTGCATTGGAAAAGCTTTGGGGAAAATATGAAGTTTTAAAGGAGTACAAATCTGAGCTGTTCTCTTTCACTTTTGAGATCCTGAACTGAATGGGTAACTGCCCTCTGTAGGCAAGAATCACTTTTTCTGTCTTCTCCCATGAAACCAGAGAGGCCCTTGCTAAGACAGCACGCTGTGTCCTAACAAAACCTGATTTCATGACAAACAGCAGAAGGATATTTTTATTTTCTTTAATCTTTTTCCACCCAATAAAAATAACTGCTACCATGTGCTGAGTACTTCTATGAGTATCATTACTTGGCAGTGTAATTAACCTGTTGCTAACGTCTTCTCGCATTAGCAAACAAACCCTGAAAGCAAATACTTGGGCTCCCAAGTTGTGGCATGCACAGCAGCCTGCAGCATGTCACGAAACCATGAACCAGATGAGAAAAAAAAAAAAGTTAGGGAACTTCCGAATAAAAGTACTGTTTATGCAGCTTTTTTGTCTGTCAGTAACTCCCCAAATCAAGAAAAGCAAACAGAGCTTCCCCTTAAGATGACGTTTGAAAGGTCCCTATCTTCTTCAAAGACTGTGTGTTAGGTGGTTGCTGGCACCCTTGTCCCCACAGCCTGGGAAGGGACCAAGGGCTGGGGACAGCACGTTGGCGACAGGGAGAGCCGGGATGCAGACCAGCCCCGGAGCCTCCCGCACTGCCCGCAGGGCCCTCTCTGAGGCTGAACGCAGGAGGATGTGCTGCTTCGGGCAATGCAGACTGTTGGCTTGAGGAGGCATTTGAAGACCAGGCAAGTGCTAAATGAACCCGGAAAACCTGCCGCTGCCGCTCTCCATGGGCATTAGTGAGACTCAGGTTTGGACCGTTTCCTGGCTGCCTTTTTCTCCAACAGCAGCATCTCCCCAGGGCAGGAGCTGCGGAGGACAGGGAAGGGATGGGAGCCCAGGAAGGTGATGGAAGCAGCAGCTGTTCCTAGGCAAGCAGGAGGAGAGCAGGTGAGGCCTGTGACAGCCAACCTCCAAGCCCCGGAGTGGTGTGTGGCCTCCAACCTGCTCCCAGCAGCTGCTGCAGG